ATCTCACAGTAACTGAATGTTTCCTATTTTCATACAGATGAAATTCGTCCTTTTTACTTTGTTCCTTTGTGGATCCATCCTGGAAATCAATGTGAGTGAAATCCTTCTCTTCTCTTTGTGGTCTGAATGTCTGTTGTTAAAAACATTATTTTACTGGGTTTATTCAGCAGTTATAGTTTCCTTGTCATTCAGTTGGTAACCAGATTTTAATCTGATGCTTTCAGCTCCAAGAAGCTTGAAGTAAAAATCCTCTGTCATTTCCATTTGAGATTAATTTTGTTTTTTGTTTTTTTTAACAGGCAGAACGTGGTTTACAAAAACCAATAGGTAGTTTTGCAGGTTTTAGCATGAAGACAAGATTATTGAATCTAAAATTACGAAACATAAATTTTGCATTATATCATGCATAGCTGAACCTTTCAGTGTCTGACATTAATATGATCTGAATCTCATTTAACAGAGCCTAGGTCATCCCCAACAATAAGATCCGTTGTGGCATGTGAGGAATCAATGGCTGGATTAGTGTGTGGTAAAGTCACTGGTTTTACTGGTTTTGTTCTGGACCGTTACACCATGAATACATTCAGTTTTCCAACATTTCTTCTTCTGTCTTCCAACAGAAAATGAGCCTATCACTGTGATCAGTGCTACATATGGACGTAGCGATCAGACGACGTGCTCCAATGGGATACCTGACGACCAGACAAAGAATACTGATTGTGCTATGAAGACAAATTTAGTGGTTCAGAGGTACAGAGCTTCAGTTTTTCCTAAAGGCTTTTCAACCTGGACATGAATAAATAAATCTAAGAAACATCAAGACACAATTTCTTGGAAACTGACTTTGATCTGAATCCACAGGTGTGAGGGACAATTTCTGTGCCCTGTCTTTGTCAGTAGCTCTGTGTTTGGAGATCCCTGTGTCGGGACCTACAAGTACCTGGAGGTGAAATACATTTGTGAATGTGAGTTAATGATCTAACTTTACTAAAATCTTTCTAAAATTCAAGAACATTGAAAAGCATTAATGTCACATTTGTTTTATTCAGGTGATTTTAATTATCTTTATCTTCAGAAAACTTAATCAGTAGCATCTTAATTTACCACGTTTTTAACATGGTACATTTTAACCATGTTTTTTGGACCCCTTTCTACATACAAGGGTTAAATGTTGGAATAAACTCTGACAATGTGGGCGTGGAGCACTGACTGTTATCTCTGTGTGGTTTTTGTTTCCACGCATGGCATGACTGAATCCGGGAGGACAAGAGAATACAACGAGCCAGAAGTTAAATTGATTTTATTCTCTGACAGTTCTGAATCAGACTCTAATCCGTTTGTCTAGGAATTCCGAGTTTTTGGGGAGGTCTGAATGCAAATTTGAATTCCAAAACGGACTCAAAAACCGAACTCTGATCTGCCTGAAAACCTAGGTCTCGGAGCGGTTGAAGTGGACTCTAAAACGGTAGAAAATCCGTCTGAATGCAACCTGACTAGAGACCGTTCCAAAAGCAGGAAGTTAGCTACAGTGCAGGACATTCTGGTCAATATATTGCTCTCTACTCTGCGGATTAACAAAGATGTTGTGTTGGTTGACATATCAGTGGCTCTGCGTGCCGACACAAAAAAGGAGGGAAAGCAGAATATAAATGTTTTAAAGTTGCTTATCTGCTTAAGTCCTCATTGCTGTGGCACTCTGCAGCTGCTGATAGAAACCAAACTGTTTATGGATTTATTTCAAAGGAGACTACTTACAAACATCAGCAGCTTTAATTTAAAATATATTTATCGAAATTGGGTAAGAAATAAAGGCGCTGCGATCATTTTTGTGATTCCTGCTCATACCGCATTGGAACAGCCTGGTTTCGTGGACAGACTCACCATGTAGTAACGGCCCCTGCAGGAGCCTCACTCGCGTTAGCGGCTAACAGGCGATGTCCAAACCAGTCATGTATATCAATGAAGAAATCCTACAACCGCTAAAATCTGACACTGCTCTGTTTTTGTTTACTTTTTGTGAAGAAGAAAGTTGC